CCCTAATAAAATGTTTTAAAATAAATAAAATAAAACGGCTCCTTGTGCCTGCGGGATCCAAAGACGGTGATCACCAAACCCAAATACGATGGAGGGAGTCTCTGAGCTGACAATGTGCACACCCAGTTTGTAGAAGGCTCTGGAGGCGAGTGGGAGCCCCAAATCCATCTATAGAGCATCTAGTCAGAAGAAGCCTCTGCTAGATCCCCTCTGATCACCGGCGAGGGACTCGAACAGCTCTGCTATCAGAGATTATTGTCAACCTGATGATAGTGGATCGAACCACCGTCCAGTACGAGACCTGGTCAGTTGACCTCCCTTGGACCCAACCTGAATTTGCTCTCGGCTCAAGGATCTCTCACCTGCTCCAGGACAGAAATTTCTTCTCTGGCTTTTTAAATAGGGCTGGTGGTCTTTTCTTTTTTGCTCTTTATTTTGATCTTGATGTTATTATGTTTTTCTTCTGTTTTGTCTTTTATTATTCGTGTGAAGTTTCCCGTGTGAACGGAGCACAGGAGGAGCGGATGCCCAGAGACAATGACTGATGCAATGGTTCATCGGGCACTCGGTGCAGGTGGGGAGGATGGGGGAAACTGGGGGGCAAACAAGGGCTTCTGGAGAGGGGAGGGAGCGCTATAACAGATCGTGATGATGATGTATATACAAGCCCCTTTAAAAGCGATTTAACTGTACGACTGCATGATATGTGAATTCTATATCAAGAAAACTGCTAAAAGGAAGAAAAAGAAACCAGAGTTGACCAGCGGTTACCGTGGGTGAAGGAGGACGTGGTTGCTTAGGGGGGCATTGAGTTTATGTTGACAGTGGTGGAATCACTTTAAAAAGGACCCCCATCAGGATTGCACAGCAGGAAGAGTATGATCAATGGCACTGAATTATGCATGTGCAGTTATTAAATTGGAGGATGTTTTATTGTGTCTGGGTTTGGGTTTTTTTGTGTGCCACAATTGAAAAACCAATTACACTCATAACAATGAGCGCAAGGAAGAAGAAAAGGTTCTAAAGTTGACTGTGGTCGGCACTGTACAACTCTTTTTGCTAGGATCCAACGATGGAATTGTATGACGTGGATGAAAGGCCAATAGCACGGCTATGGAGGGGGAGGGTAAAAAGAGGAGCTGATACCCAGGGCTCAAATAGAATGTAAATGTTTAGAAAATAATAATGGCAACATATGTACACATACGTTTGACACAATTGACACAATGCTTTGTTAAAAGAACTGTAAGAGCCCCCAATAAAGTGATCTTAAAAAAAACTTTTAAAAAAGAGTTGTACAAGTTCTGTCTCTAGTATGAATATTAAATCTTGACCATAAATATGAAAACAAAAAAAGGTTCATTTTCTGTTATGTGCATTTCACCTGGGATGGGGGTAGGGCTGGTTATCATTGTGATAGAATCCTTGATGTCTTTGGCCAAGTGGCCCCCGAGAAGTTTCTAGAATGATGGCTGGCAGGAAGTAGCCAGTTTCCAAAGTGTGAAGCTAACTCATGCCTTCATTTTCCAACCCTCCCTCCTGGCACCCCTCACCCATGAGGAGCTCTCTCTCTGCCCCAAGCCACCCCTGTTGGGTCTCCACAATCCCCTTCCCACCTCTGCCAAAGCGATGTGCCACCTCCTTCAGTGAGGACCCGTCTGTTATTATACTCATGGTGACCCTACGTCCGTGCAGCAGAAGGCAACACTGCCTGGTCTTGCACCCCTTACTACCCACGCAGCATGGGAGCCCACAGTGGCACCCACTGCGGCGAGGACCTTCCTCTGTTTGGCTGACCCTCTGCTTCCCCGAGCACTCTTTCTCTGTGGACGGATCCTTCCTGATAACATGTCCGAAGGACTGAGCGCCCTGTCTGCACTTCGTCCAAGACAGAGGGTCTGTTCTGCCAGGTCGTAGTGGACACTCAATATTCTTCGCCCACACCCTCATTCAAAGGCATCAAGGATGTGCCATCGACTTACAGCCGTGCAGACCCCCTGGTGAGGTTCTCCTCTGTCCTGCAGAGTTGGTAGGAGTCAAAATCAACTTGTTGACAATTTTTTATCCCTCCGGGGGCTCGGGGGTAGGTAGGTGGGGTAGAGGGATGATAAACGGGTAGGCCTCCAAACCCATCGTCAGAAATCTGTCCTGACTCCTTGCGGCACAGAATTCCATATGCTCAAGGAATCCAGATGTTCTGGATTCAGGGAGGCTGGAGGCAATACACCCCACTCCAAACCACCCCCCAGAGATAACCTTGAACCCGCAAACCCAAAATATCTCCCAAAGTTGTCTTAACACACAAGCGGTGTTTAGCTTCCCTGCTGAAGAATGTCTGCCTTTGGAAGGTCTCTCAGCCTGGCCTGAGATGGACAACTCAGAGGATGAGCCAGGGACCTGGGGCTGGGGTGGGGGCGGTGGGGTCATGATGGGTCAGCTAGGAGGGCGACCTCTCCGTCGATGTCCCTGAATTGAGTGCGTGGGCAGAGCCGCACGGGTGCCTCTTCCGGCTGTGGATGGTCATTCTCAACAATGGCTGTAACTAAAATCTTAAAATAACCCAACCAAACCGGAGACAGGCTCACGCTGGGAAACATTGTAACATTCGCATGCACTGCTGTGATACTCTGTCGGGCTCACGCACGATATGAGTTCCACCTGTTCCTTCTTCGTGTCTTCCTCCTTGCCACGAGCTTCTTTTGGGCTTTCCACTCTCTAGGTCCAAGGTCTCTGCTTGGTGCCCCCGGTTTGCACTGACGCCTGCCGTCCCACAACGGGAGGTCTGCTTTGCGGTGGACGACAGCCACAAACCCTGGAGGGAACTTCTGCTCTGTCACGTGGGTCATCCTGAGTCAGAATCGGCGCCACTGGAAGGGTTTTATTTTTGCCCCCCACCCTCCAACACCTCCACCCCGACTCTTTCCTAGGAGGAGCCCTGGTGGCGGAGAGGTTCTGGGTCGGGCTGTGATCACGGAGTCGGCAGATCGAAACCACCAGCAGCTCCGTGGGAGAAAGACAGGGCTGTCTACTCCCATCAGCAGTTACCGTCTCGGAACCCCACTGGGGTGGGGGTGGGGGTCACGATGAGTCAGCATTAACTCTACAGGGGATTCCCTTCTAGGGATGTTTATTTCTTCCTATAGTAAGCCCCCCACCCACCCAGCAATAGCCACCCATGTAGTGTCTTTCAAACACGGTCTAGAATCAGTTTAGCAGCGTCTCCCCCAAACCAGGTGATAAAGGCAAAGATGGTGGCCGGAGACTTTGCCATTCTGCTGCACTGTTTCTCTTTGAACCGAGAACCTGCCGTTCTGTTATGAGCTGTTAGCTACCTGTCGAGCCAGCTCG